GGAATCCCCTGGTGGACCTCTAAGATCCAGGGCCTCTCCGTGCTGGATTACATGTCGGAGCCAGAGGCCTATGGCAAGTGCGAACGTTGCTTCAAGAGGTATGGCTTCCCGGCGGACTGGGTACTGGAGCCTGCGGAGGTCCCCACACTGCAGGAGGACTCGGACTCCTCGGCGAACTCGGGCTCTGAAACGGATAACTTGGTAGACACCCAGTCGGAGACCCTTTGGAAGCCTAGGTGCCCCCGGCCCTGACGACCTAAGGGGGAGGCCAAGGACAGGGCTCTGGCGGCCCTCAGCACAGACTGGCATCCTTCGGAAATGGCGGGTGTGCCAGACTGTCCTTCGGAAATGGCGCTATCAGTCTGCACACCCGTTCTTCAGGGGAAGATGAGTCCCTGGCACCAACACATTGCTTGGATAAAAGAGTTATCGCTTGCTTGTGTGGTGCCGTTTGGTTAGCTTACATACACTTTGTTAATGTTGAAACGCATGTGGAAACATGAACTGTGTGTGGAATGCTTGACCATAATGGCATGTGCCATTTTGGCTCAAGCATTGCTCTGGGTTCCTGGAACCCAAGCTGATTGAAAACCCACCCACCCACACCAAGGTAAGAGGTCATGGCTGCGGCGCCGGAGGAGGTCCCAGCCGCGATCAAGGAAGACGTGGCGAAGTTGCAGAAGCCACTGGCGGCCATCTTGGTGGGCAAGGAAATCCCCTGGCTACGTCACGGTGGAAGACCTGGCGGATCGCTGGAACACCCCGGCTGCGGCCAGGGAAAATGGTCCCCGGGACCTGGGATTCCAGGATGAAGAGAATGGATTCAACGCCCAGACCTCGGCCTTCACGGCAATGCGCCTCCTTCAGGCAGCACGGGTGGCAGCAAACTTGGTCAGGGGGGGCAACCAGGGTGACCACCCGGCGGGCCATGCGGGCCCGATAAAGGCTCCCTTAGAAGTCCTGTGTGACAGGCGCCAGCTGGAAGACGCTTACGTGGCCACGCATGGGGCCCCGAAGCCGAGGTTGGAATTCCAGAGTAGTGATGGCTACCTCAAGAAGCAATGGCGCATGATTGCCAAGGGCGAATTGGGCTACATCCCGGCAAAACACATCGTGAGCGCGCTTCCGGAAGAAGGGGAACGCCCTTCATCCACCCACAAGAAGATCACGGTGGACGGCTGGGACAGGGAGGATGAAGAAGAGGTGAGGAGCCACCCTACATCTCGGCGCCAGCTGGAACGGTTGCACCTAACCTTCAGGACGACGCTCCTGATGTGCACGGCAGCACTGCCGCAATTTGGCAACCTGAGGGTCACCAAGGAGGAGTTGGATGACTGGTATGCCTGGTTCTATGGGGAGGACATAGCTGGCAGGAAACCTCCCCCGAGCGACACCACCTTGCTGTTTGCAGAGCGCAATGCATGGCGCAAGATTCACGAGATGGTGCACCAGGGCACCACTCTCTCCGAAGCCCTCAAGCACATCAGGGGCGACTTCCTCTTCTGGCAACGGGAGGTCTATGAGCACCTCAACAGGGCGCCGACGAAGGGGAAGAGCAAGAGCAAGGCACCCAAGGTGTGGCAGACTCAGTGGGAGAAGCCCAAGAAGGGGGGAAAAGGATCTTGGCCCTCGGGGCCTACCCATTCCAAGCCGAAGGGCAAGGGCGGCAAAGGAAAGTCCCCCAACACCTCCTCGACCCCATGGCCAGACCACTGGGCTTTCAAGAATCCCAAAGGGGTGGCGTACTGCAGGGATCATCACCTTCACAACAAATGCCCTGGATCATGCGGCCGATCCCACAACTGCCCGGTCAGGAAGGATGGGTGGGTGTGTGATGCCCCCCCAGCGAAGCATGTGCCACATTCATGCCCACACCTCCCCAAGTCACAAGAGGCCACTCAGGGTGCCATGGGCCCCGTGGTCTCCGAAGGGATCACAGGCCACCAGTGCGAGAGCGCACACAGCGGGGGAGAGCCAATCCCACCAGAGCCACAGCGGAAGGCAGACAGAGTTTGGGAGGCCAGGACGTGCGCAGGTGGGAGGGGACTTCTCCAGGGTTCCACCGGCCCCGAAACCCCCTCCACCGAAGAAAGGGAGTGGATCCAGCCAGGGCACTCCAGAAGGGCGGAAGCACCCTTTTCCCCCGCACCCACCGAGGCAGTGGGAAGAACCCCCAGAGAGACCCAGAGGTGGGGATCCGCCCGGCAAGGGGCGTTCCAAGGGCGGGCAGAACCGTCAGGGCAAGCAGCAAGCCCAGCGCCAGACGACCAGTGGGTCGGATAAAGGACACACGGAAACCCCAGGGGGGACAAGCCCCACCTTCCCCTGGATGCAAGACACCCCGGAAAGACTGAGGTCCAGACTAAGGTGGACGCCACGACCGGTGCCGGAGTCGTCGAAGCCGACCCTCATCCTGCTGTACGCTGGGAAGGACGACGCGGGGGCCCTGGATGCCTACCTCCATGCCTACAACCCGGCCTTCTCGGAGTACATTTGGGCAGTGGACATTAGGCGAAAGGGTGGCGATCTTGGACATGACATGCTGGGAGACGAGCCATACTCTACAATGTGCTCCATGGCCATGGCGGGCAAGGTCACCTTTGTGGGGGGCGGCCCCAACTGCAGAACGTGGAGCATTCTCAGATGGTTCCCCAAACCAGGAGGGGCAGGGCGGAGCAGACCCTGTGGGGCTTGGAGGACCTGGAGCCCCGGGTAAGGGAGGACACGGACAACGACAGCGTGCTCATGCTCCGACAGATGTACCTGACCTCGCTGGCCTACCAAGGACTAGGTCAACGAACGGTCCCGCAGGTGGGCTCCTCCTCTGAGTCCTTCAGTCCTGCCCTTTTGCCCTTTTTACCGGTACATGCGTTTCATTTAGTGAGACGGTCTCAGCATGCACACCAGAGCGGCCCCGTGCTGTTATTTTGGCTGGCAAGGAGGGGGAGGGCCTGTCGTCGCCATGGAGCGATTGCAGGCATTGAGGCCGCTGGCTGAGGAGCGGAAGGCTCGCAGAGCACCATGGGTGGCAGAGCCACGGATGCAGCTGAGCCTCTCTTCTGACTGCACTGGCTTCGCCACTTTTGCGCAGGCAGCGGCGCACTTGGGTTTCAGAGTCCAGCACACAGTGTGCTCCGAATGTGATCCTCAAAAGAGAGTGTTGTTGCAAGCTGTGCATGGCGCACTGGGGGTGGATTCTGGGCTGGTGCTAGAGGACTTGCGACAGCGTTTGCAGCAGCCTTCGTGCAAATCGCTTTTGCACGAGGGCGGGTATCCCTGCCAGGGTTTTAGCTCTATGGGCAAGGGCCGCGGCATTTCAGACCCTAGGGGTGAGTTGTTACTTGATGCAGTAGAGATTATCACGCGGGATCAGCCTTTGGCCTTCGTGATTGAGAACGTGGCCAGCCTGGCATCGGATGAAAAGTATTCAGAGATTTGGCAGGCGATCCTGGGAATCTTCCAGGTCGGCGGATACGACGCGACCTGGCGGATTTTAGACAGCGCGGATCACGGCGTGCCTCAGAGCCGGCTGCGCGTCTACTTGATCGGTGTCCGAGATGACCACGCCAGGCGTGGCGAGATGTCTTTGTTGACGTAGGCCTTCTTCATGTGTTTATTAGCCATGCTCTGGAGGCTTTAACACAATGCAGTGAAGAAATACGGTTGAAGCAGTCCAAGCAGTCCAGCCAAGAGGGGCTTAGGGCGCACCGGTGTCGTACGGCAGACCGTAGGCTATTTGTCGATCAAGCGGTCCGATCGGTGCATTTCAAGATACCAACGCGCACTTTCACAATGCTTGCCTATTTTCACTGAAGTTCTTTCGGGCCTCAGGGCAGTCCTCACGGGAGCTCCACCGGGCTTACGTGATTTAGCGGCTGCGAGGTTTCATAGGAGTCAATTAGTGTTGAAGGGGTTATAAATGACACCGAGGGCGGCGGCTGTCTATGGTATACCTGCATCCCACACTAGGCGCTGCCGTGTAGATATTGCTTTGCACAATGTTCACTGAAAAGATCCAAGCTTAGTCATCAGGCCCAGCGCAACTTCTTCGCAGATTAAGGAATGGGAGAAAGAACCAAGGATTCCCAGCACGGACTAATGGCAATATCTTCGCCTACATGTCGTAGCTTTGGAGATCGCACCCCGTGCATAGCCCCGCACAAACTGCGAAAATAATATACACCTTTTGCCGGGTCCACCGGCCTGGGCCAGGGGTTCGCCCGGAAGGCGCCTTGGAATGGGTGCTGGCTTGAGTCCACATGCCAAGTCTTGATTTGACCTGTTTGCATTGTGGGCGTTACATCTTGCTTTCCGCTACGGTGGCCAGCGTTTTTCATTGAAGAATGCCCCTGCTACCGGTTGAGGCACCCTGCGAGCAGACACACCCAGCCCGCATCAAGGTCGCCTGTTGGAACAGGTCCCTGTCAGAGCCTGCCCTCGGGACCGCCTTCCTGGCTCCGACCATGTTCCAGACGCTTGCAAGTCCCCTCCGAGAAAGGGTGTGTGACCACATTTACAAAAGCCTGCGTCGGCAATCGCTGGCCAGGGCTCGACCGCTCCAAGAGGTTTGGCCTGAGCCGCTGCCTGCCATGCCGGCGCAGTGTTTCTTGAAGATGGACATTCGCGGCAACCTTCATCCGGGAAAGCAACGAGGGCGCTCCGCCACGTGGAAGCGAAACTGGTCTGCAGCCCCACGGCTGCTGCGAAATGCGCGCCCCCTCCTCCACCCCACCCCGCCTTGGGTTTAGTGACAGAGGGTTTTTTTTGGCTTGGTTGACCTTCTGCGATTTATTGCTGTGATTTGTCTCCCGTCATGGGTCAATGACAACTGTTCAACATGTATGTCCGGGGGTGCTTTGCTCATTGCTCCTAGTTTTCACGAGGTTGGCCAGAAGGGAGCTTTAGCCATTTACTCTGTTTTTGGTGCACAGGTTTCTGCCTGTTCCGCCCTTGCCCCACATTTCCCCGTTAATACCGTGGCGTCCCACCTCGGGGGAAAGCAGCGATCCTTGCAGACTTTTCTCCGGAGAGTCGTTGATGGTTGAGATCTCAATGCAGCCAGAAACCTCCAAGTGCAAGAGCTAACCTGTTGTTTGGCTGGCTTCTTGCGGGGGCTGCGTTGGGGGCATGTCAGTCACCAGAAACCGCTGAGCTGTTGTTAGCTTGGATGCAATTGCTGAAGGACAAAGGGTGGTATCAGCCCACGACTTACCTTGCGCAAGCGCAGAAACACATTTCGCATCGTATGGGGGGCGTCATCCTGTGAGCCCTGCCAGTTGTTGACCTTTTTTCAGCCATTTGTCAGGCATCTATCAAGATACGCCCCTTACGCGCCAGTGTGCCTCCTCTTTGAGATCACATTGGTGGCTTAGCAGGTAGATGCAAATTCTGCGCTCAAATCTCATCCTGTTTCAGCTTGCGTGTTTGACGGGGGTGTCAACTTCAGAGCATGTTGTTCAAACGGCTTTCTCTTCATAGCGCAGCTCGCCAATCACCTGTTGTCGGACACCGCCTATGAGAAGACTTGTCAGCCATTTGTGGAGCAGTAGCCTTTGCCATCTTTTGTGACGTCAGGGGCCCACCAGACTGCTGCAACTCTCGCAAAATTTAGCAGCGCAGCAGGGGGCAATCTTAACGCTGGGTATGGATCTGGAAAACAAGGCAAAGGTTCTCCCTGCATAGGCCAACCGCGCCCACCGCTAGGTGCTCAAGAAGGCGAAAGCCCAGCGCTTGAACATCAATTCCGTAGATGACATGCTCATAGCAGACATGTGTGGCAGCAGCTTGGCCTGCCAGCGGAACCGCTTTCCTACCATCACAGCATCGCGAGGGAAATCCGGTGCGTACTATTTGCCTGCGTTGTCCCGGGTGGCTGATGTTGAAGAACTAGCACGTGTGCAAGGCTCTTTTTGACCAAACAGCGTTTTGCTTTTTGCCAGAAGGTGTAGACCCAAACCAGAGCAACCTAGCATTGCAATAATTTGGCCTTTCCGCATGGGATCATGTTTGGTAGGGGAAAGCAGCCATCCATAACGCGTACCCGGTGCAGGTGTGGATGGCCGGGTATTCCACGCTGCCCATGGGAAGGTTGGCCTCGCGGTCATCGGCCACGCCGTCGGGAACAGCATGACAGTAGCTGTAGTCGAACGACTTCTATGCCGGCGCCTTGGCGCCAGGCTATGCCAGCGGTAACGCATCTTTGTGGTAGCTTTTTAGGCCAATGGTCACACTGTGAGCCGAGGCTGCTTTGGGTGGTGGGCTTCGCGCCTGAGATGCCGATCGATCGCTGGGCTGAAGCTGTTGGCGCGTGGCACGCAGATCGACGTGTCAATTTTTGGCAATTGCTAGCTTCCTTTTCGAAGCTGAAAACTGTGCAGACATCCTAGCTCTCATGGATGTTACGCATCATGGTAGGGACTGCTGCCATGAGATGCTGTGCCGGCTGACAATTGATAGGCTCACCCGTCGCCAGAAAAGCCTACGTGCAAACCAGATGTCGGCTAGAGCTCGTGCCGAATAAATGACACCGGCCTGCTGGGGACGGTGGAGCATGCTAGACGAGTGGTGCTTTCATGTCTTGTCTGTGGGCATCACCCGCATGATGTGACCTGACAGAGCTCGCAGCTGTTGGCTGATTTTGTGTTTGTGTGCGTTGGGTCTCACTCACAGCATGGCAGCCTCAGCAGCCTCAGCCAAGCGCAGCCGTGTCGACTGGCAGATGGGTACCCGGATCAGATTCCAAGGTTCAAATCCAAAGAGCGCCGGCACTAAGTCGCACCAGAGGTACGAGAAGTACAAGTGCGCCCAATCCGTGCGGGCTGCGCTATCGGCAGGGGCTCAGCTCAGGGACCTGGATTTTGATCACCATCGAGGATTTCTCGTTGTTGCTGGCAGCCCAGATCCTTGGCGTGGCTGGAGGTTTGAGGGGGGGGGGCGGGGCGGCCATTAAACTCATGTGCTGCAGACACCACTTTGCTCCTGAAAAGAGACCCGACGACGAGGATTCCGATGCCATCGTGCCAGCGGACGACGGGGACGCAACCGACGACCAGGCTGGTGAGGCGCGCTCAGCACTCATACCCGGAAAGCGGAAGCCAGGGCCTTGACAAGTCATCATATATTGAAACGCACGACCTTCCTACTTTTCAACCTTCTGTGTGTCTTTTTGGCCAGCGTGCTTGGGTTCACGGGGGCAGTTTAGCTGTGAAAGCAAGCTTGGCCTTCGACATGGCCTCCCGCTTGTGCAGCGAAGTGTGCAGCAGGGACACCAGTGGATTTAGACTGCATTGTGTTTCCGCCCATTCTGGTTCTTTGCATTGGTTGCCGACCAGTGAACACAGTCCAGCTCAGCCCCAGCAGCGGGGTTGAAATTGTGTCCATGATTTGGCGGCGTTAGGAGTGACTCGGGCAAGATGGGTTGTGATTTGAAGTGCGTGCGCTGGAGCAGGCACATTCGATTTGCACTTTTGTCCCCTTAGCGTTTTGCGCATCATCCCGCCAAGACATGGACATTCTTGGCTCTATGTTGACGGTGCTCCATCCTAACGCTTTGCCGCATGTAGCTTAGGCCTTTTCGACTGCCGACTCCGCGCTCTCAGGAGGCTTCGGGGGCCGACCCGCCTCAGGATGCCCGCATGGATCAGGACTGACGCAGGTGGCGCTGAGCAGCAGATGTGTTCGTCACTGCAGGATTGCGGCAGCTCTGCGCATGGAGGATCAGGGTGCCCCAAGTGCAAGGCCCGCTGCCCCTTGCTGTGTTTGCTCACATGTTGTACTGGTGGGCCCTCCGCTGCGCCACCCACTGGAGTAAACATGCCTTGCGACCTGTGCGCGCCTTCAGAACCAACTTGTATGCTACTCGTCTACAGGCAAATCCACGGGCTTTCATTGCAAACCTTCGTTTTGTCACAGGGAGTGTTGATGACAGACCAGGAACTCACTCCATGCTGCCCGTAGCCCTCGTCTCGGACATAACTTTTGCATTCCGGAATAGCAAAGTAGGATGTGTTTTTTTGTGTTGCCTTTGTAGTCAATATGACGGCTCTCCAAAGACCTACTCATTCCTAGGCTCGTGGTCTGCTTGCCGCGCTGCCCTTATGTAGGCTGAGAGTCACAGCCGTGCCAGTGCTGCCAGGGCCTGGACCCAGAAGGCCTCTACCTTGTGATCTCAGATCGCGTCAAGGGCTATGTAGATGAGTGCTTGAGCCTTCTCAACCAAAAGTTTGAAATCGACTTGGCCAGTTTGCGACAGGATGTTGACTGCCTGCAGTATAAACATCTCCAGGGAGTCAGTTCGCGCCACAGTGCGTGATCTGAAGGTTCACCTGTGACAGCTGGGGTGTGCTGGAGAAATGTCGCCCTTGTGCGCTGATTGGCGAGCACACATTGTCACGTGGCCCGCACCTGCGTGGGCCATTTCCGGACAGATTCAACATGTGGCATATTTTCCGGAAATCGGCGTTTTCAACTTGCTGTGTCTTTTTCCTGTGGAGACATATTTGTTGGAATGCGTCAATTGTGAGGGCAAGTGGATTCATTTCGTTCTTTGAGCACGGAGGGATCTTATCGCGCGGCGCACCGTGTCTTCAGGGCCGCCGG